ACAAAACTCGCAGAACGAATTAATTTCGTCTTGCGAGGCACCACTGTATTTTGCAACAGATACTCAAGAGACAGAAAACAACTGTAAGCCAAATATTTATCATCTCCCTTCCCACCCCTACTTCTTTGTTCCTCTTAATAGCTAATTCTGGCCCCTTGTTGTTTGGTGCTCTGACCACTTATCATTGTGTCAGGATGGACAGGGTTTGAAGTATTTGGTTGAGCTCTCCAGTATTAATACCAGAATCTGCTAACTATTGTTATGCTCAGTTTAGAAAGGGAAATGCCTTCTCTTGATAGCTAACAGGTTGTATGTATACTCCTATCAATGTCAAATGACATTTTTACTGCACTGGGGGGTCTGCAGACCAAACATATTGGTGTTAAACCAGGCAACTTCTCAGGGATGCTGGTTCTCTGAACAAGACCAAGCTCATGAATATGCTTTTGTGTTATTTACATTAATCTTTGCATATGGCCTATTTGTCTAGGTCAGGTCTAGCCAGTGTAGTGCGCTCGGTGTTGTGGCACTACAGCTCTCACTGTGCCACATCTACTGTATGGTACTTTTCAACTTGTTTTGCAGGTGCAAACAAATGTTCTGTAAAGTGAATTATGCAATACTCAAATTAGTAGTTAACACATTTCAGTTGTCCATTTGCTTTTATCCCGTCCTATGAATGTGGGATCAGGCTGAGCACCTCCCATGGTTTTCCATATGACACACACTGCAAATATTGAGCAATATGCAGCATTCACTACAATTCTACACCAATGTTGTTGTATTTTGAACAGAAAAGCTTTATATTAAAAAATTTAAACACTACAAAGCATACAAAACAGTGACTCCCAACAACTCAAACTTTGGAACTCCCTCTCTAGAGAAGCTAGACTGGCTTCCACCAGCAGGTGAAGACTTTTTTATTCCAACAGTCTTCCAGGAACTAACTTCTTTAAATGAAAGGGCTGGGGCCATACAGATTTTATTTTAATTCTTTGTATGGTTTTAATAGATTTTGTTCACATATATAGTTTTACTTCTATCAGTGTTTAATTGTTTTTAATGGTGGCTTTTTCTCTTTTTTTTAGTGGTTCTCATTTTTATACGTAAGCTGCCTTCAGTCCCATCAGTGGAAAATGTGGGTAGAAATGAATGTATGATAATAATAATAACAACTCAAGAGATGCCCATGCCAAGAGTGCTTCTAGTTCTACTCGGGACTTTGTGGTCTCCATGGGAACCTTGTTCTGAGCCCAACACATACAGTGGTACCTCAGTTTAAGAACAGTCCAGTTTAAGAACAATTTGGTTTACAAACTCCACAAAACCAGAAATAGTGTCTTGATTTGAGATCTTTACCTCAGTCTAAGAATGGAATCAGAACAGTGGAAGGGCACCGGCGGCGGGAGGCCTCATTAGAGAAAGTGTGCCTTGGTTTAAGAACGGTTTTGGTTTAAGAACGGACTTCCGGAACGGATTAAGTTCGTAAACCGAGCTACCACTGTATTAACAAACACACACCAGAGTTATTTTTCTGCACAGAGCTTCTGGTGGCTGCTAGCAGGAATTGTGTCTAGTTGAGTTCTGCATGGTAGTGAAAAATCAGTAAATTTCGAAAGACAAGTAGCTCCTCAGAAAGTGAATGAACAGTTGCTCACTTTGTTGCCTTTGCTACATTAATTTGCTGATAAAAAGTTATTCATGTTTAGTCTGGCTTTGATGTGGCTTTGAGAGAGCAGTGTCTAAACTGGCAGTATCCAGATCAACCACTTGTTGCGAGTAACCAGATGGTGGTTTTATTCTGTACACTATCAAGGGCACTGACAAGAATTTTGGCTTACTGAAGGCAGTGATCTGTGCGTTGGATCCTTGTACATCCTTGGCTGCTTAAAGCCTTAAATTAGTCTTGCTATTTCTATTTCTCTTTATGCTCCAATGCAGGAGGAAGGGCCATTGGTAGAGCATCTGCCTTGCAAGCAGAAGATCCCAAGTATAAGCTCCAGAGAGGACTGGGAATGTTCCCCGCCTGAAAAGCTGCTCTTATCATTGTAAACAGCACCCGATTCCTACAAGATGTCACCTCCATGCGTAAAATTACCATGTTCTGACAGGATGTCTATTTTATAGCAGTGGGCCTCCCATCTCTCAATCAGACTTTTTTCCCAACTTTCTGTACTCAACAATATTTCACAGATGAGAAAAGGGACACTTGTGTATTTGTACAAAAGGAGAACGTGGTCCACCTCTGCTATTATGCAGGAAAAACAGGAAAAGTGTGATTTTGCTATTATTTGACATAGTAATATTTCATTACACAGTCCAAGATGAACCTCGCCACCTACAGCTTCTGGAATCGCTGAGCATCACTTGATATATTTGTAGCAATGTGCCCCCTTAAACAAACCAATGGTTTATTAGATAAATGAGGAGAGGGCCATAGCTCAGAAGGTCTTGGGTTCAATCCCCAGAGAGGCTCCCTGCCTGGAAGCTTGGAGAGCCATTGCTACCAGTCCGTGTAGACAATACTGAGCTACATGGAGCAATGGGCTTGACTCGGTAGAATAATAATAATAATAATTTATTATACCCCACCCATCTGGCTGGGTTTCCCCAGCCACTCTTGGTGGCTTCCAGCAAAATATTAAAATACAATAATTCATCTAATATTAAAAGCTTCCCTAAACAGGGCTGCCTTCAGATGTCTTCTAAAAGTCAGATAGTTGTTTATTTCTTTGACACCTGGTGGGAGGGCGTCCACAGGGCGGGTGGTACAAGACAGCTCCCTGTCTATGTTCCAGCAGGGCCGGCCCTAGACATTTTGGTGCCCCAGACAAACCACAAAATTGCGACCATTCCCCCAGTCAGGAAAGAAGGGCTAGGGAAAGATCTACAGGGATGGGGGGGGGGGAGAATAAAGATCTACATCTGTGATGATAGATTGGGCAAGAGATGTAGGATATAATATAATGTTTGAGGATTGGGAAAGATTGTGGAAGGGGTCAAGTTCACCACATGTACTGCACTAAAGGAAAATATAATGAAAATGATGTACAGATGGTATTTGACTCCTGTAAAATTAGCAAAGATATAACTGTGATAATCTATGTTGGAAATGTAAGGAAAAGGAAGGAACATTTTATCATATGTGGTGGACCTGCCCCAAGGTGAAAGACTTCTGGGAAAATATATATAGTGGATTGAAAAAAAATGTTGAAATATACATTTATAAAGAAACCAGAGGCCTTACTTCTTAGAATAACAGGTTTGGAATTGCCCAAGAGAGATGTTAAGTTATTTTAGTATGCCACGACTGCTGCACGTATTTTATTAGCTAAAAAGTGGAAAACCCAAGAATTACCAATAGAAGAATGGCAGATGAAGATGATGGATTTTTCGGAGCTAGTCGACCTAACTGGAAGAGTCCACAACCAGAAGGAGGAGGAGTATCAGGAAGATTGGATCAAATTTAATGATTACTTAGTTAAATATGTTAAGTTAAATTAACTGAAAACAGCTTGCAGATACTTAATTGGCTTAGGATTTTATTTAAGTTAAGTGATGAATTAATATGTTTAATTTCATAATGTGAAGATCTAAGGATGCTAATGTTTAAGTTAATTTTTTTTAAGAACTGTGATTAGGAAAACCGTTAAAAGGACATGCAATGAAATTCATTTTTTTAAAAAAAGATATTTCTTAAGATTTTCAAAATATTACAAAATGAAAAAAGAAAAATACAAAATAAAGATAATTAAAAACAATTCAATCTTTCCGTTACTTATCTTTCATTTGCTTGTTTCCCGGACCTCCTCACACCTCCCTTTTTTATATTCCAATTCAATTTGTTAGTTCAGCAAATCCTTTCCCTCTTTGTTTATCCTAGTCTTTAATCTTAAAGTATTATAACATTAAATTTTTACCTGTTAATAATCCATTTTTTCATATTCCTTTATAGCATTACAGCTAAAAACCACTTAACTTCTATCCAACATCATTCTAACATTCATTAATTTTGCAGTATTTCTGTAAGTAGTCTTTAAACTTTATCCAGTCTTCTTCCACCGACTCTTCTCCCTGGTCTCGGATTCTGCCAGTCATTTCCACCAATTCCATATAGTCCGGACATGCAATGAAATTCAACCAAGGGGAAGCAAGGAAGTCACTTAACAATGTTAATAAGTGTAATTTTTAATAAGGCTATGATTTATGCTTGTTTGTTTTATGTGTTTGCTGGTTTATAATGTTGTGAAAACCAATAAAAAAAATTTGAGAATAAAGATCTACATCAGGATCTGCTGCTCCTGTAGACCCTGCCTCCTGAGGCGGCCTCCTCCCCTTGCCTCACGGCTGGGCCGGCCCTGCTGTTCTGGGACTCGGATCAGGGGCCAGAGGTAACTTTGCCCCTCAGTTCGAATCCCGCCCTCCGCCTGCCAGCGTGGCTCCGCCCACATAGGCTGTCAGGCCCCGCCCCTCCCTCCCTCCCGTCCGGCGAGGTCAACGGCTCGCCCGAGCTGCCACGTTTCCTTGCTGACGTTAACCCGGCCGGCCTCGCCCGCCAGCCAATCCGCTACCAGAACATCGGAGTTGAGTCAACCGGGAAGCCGCGGGGGGAGACAGGCGACCCGGACCGCGCACGCGCCAGCTGCGCCGAGGGCGCCGCCGGGAAACCGAGTTCTCTTCCCTCTGACGCCTCCGCGGCGGGCCGAGGGCCGCCTCCTCCCGCGGAGACTCCATTTCCCGGCGTGCCCCGAGAAGGCCTCCCCTGCTCGGCCGCCGCAATGTAAGCCCGGCCCCTCCTCTCGGATGCCTCTCTGTTTCCTGGTTCGCGGGGCCGGCAGCCATTTTGGGATCTGGGTGCCGGAGCGGACGCTGCCTGCCGCCGCCGCCTGTGAGGGGAGGAGTGGAGCCCGGCCAAGAAGGGAGACGCCGCGTCCGTTTGCCGGTGCTGCCCTCCGCTCGCCCCGTCGGATAAAGGGAGCCTGACCGCCGGGAGGAGCCGCCGCCGCCGCCGCCACCGGTGGGTCTGACCGCCGCCTGCTCCGCGGAGCGAGCTCGTTCTTCACAGGCCGCGGGGCCCCGCTGACATGTCAAGCATGAATCCCGAATAGTGAGTAGCGCCGCGACAGGGGAGGGTCGCTCTGCGCCTGCGCGTGGGCCGAAGGGGGGGGCGGTTAGGTTGGAGGGGGGAGGGGAAACCCTAATTCGGGGTTGGGGGCGACGCGGAAGTCGAAGAGCAGGAGTAGGTGCGGGGGGACAAATATATATGGGGTGAAGGGGGCTGGACGCGGGGTGGGGGGCGGTGAGTTGCTCCCACCGGCCTCCCAGCCGCAGAAAGTAGGGGGCTGAAGGGCCTGCGAAAAAGTATTAATGGAATATTGGGGCGCGGGGGGGGTCCTGTGGAGACGAAGCGGTGGAATTGAATGTCCCTGAGGGTCCTCCCCCCCAAGTCCTGTTGTGGGGCCGGGAGGGGACGGTTTGGGCGCATTTGACCGGCGAGGATCTATAAAGGGGCCCCAGTATTAGAGGAATGGATGTCACAGGTTGCTTCCTGATGACATTCTCGGTAACAGTTCCTGCTGTGGAGAGAGATATAGCCTGATGTGAGTTGTGCACCTCTACTACTATAGTATGCAACTATGCATACTACTACTTAGCGTCTGGGCTCCGCTATTTAACGTTTGAGTTGCATTCAGCATAGGTGCGCAGAACACAAAGCCGCAAGAACAGATTCGGGCAAAACAATCTTTTAAAAAGTGTTTGTGAGATATGGTTTTGCCCGGTTCCGTTCTTGTGCCTTTGTGTTCTGCACACCTATGTTGTATGCAACTCAAACTTTAAATTGTGGAGCCCAGATGCTAAGTAGTAGTATGCATACTTGCTGGCAAACCTTATAGTAGAGGTGCACAACTCAAATCACACTGTGTAGAATGCTTTCAGTAACACACTAGAGCTGTGTTAGTATTTTAATCTCTGAAAGTCAGTGGGAGTTGTTTAAAAAAAAATCCACTTTTTCTCCAGTGAGCACAGGGCAGTATATGTGGCTCGCCTCTTTTTAATCCTCACAACATTCCTTTGATATAGGATAGGTAACTAGCCCAAAGTTACCCAGGATAGAATCATAGAATTGTAGATTTAGAAGGGACCATGAGGGTCATTTAGTCCAGCCCTCTGCAATGCAGGAAAATTTTGCCCAGCATGGGACTCAAACCCACGAAACCGATGACCCTGAGATTAAGAGTCTTATGCCATACCAACTGATCTACATTTCTTGCATGAGTTGTGACTGAATGGTCTCCCAGGTTTAAGTCCTGTGCTCTGACCCCTGCTTTGTGCCCTCAGCTGTAACTTTTAATTGTAATCTCTTCGCTGCCTCTTTTTCTCTGTGACCCGTAAGTGTATTTATTCCTCTCCCACCCCGTGGCTACAGGCCTCCCTGAACTTCTCTCTCTCAACATTTCTTCTGTTCTCTTTATACCCCATGGGACTCTTTCCCTCTTTGCAGGTGCAGTCTCTATCTTCATTCAGGTATCTCAGCGACACCCTTCACTGTTTTCCTTACAAGTCTCTACAACTGCATCTTCGTTGCTATCTCTGTCAACTCTCCCATATTTGTCTTTTCCACCTACCAGTTTCTCTTCCCAGCCTCCCCATTCCAATTTTCGTTGTTTGCTTCTCTCCCCCTGAAGGCCTGCTGTCTTGTCCAAACTCCTTTTTTTTAGTTTAGTAGCATCAGTATCTTAGAGATTCAGGTGAAAATGCGGCTTAGTTGGCCAGCTGCAAAAGACGGGGAAAACTGGTATCAGTGTCACTATGTGCTTCAGAATATAGGAGGAACAGTACAGAAGTAGTGGTGCAGACTATCTCCTGTCCTCGCTCTCAGTTATGAGATTGCTCTTACACACAAATTCTGAGCACCTCAGGTTCCCGTATTGATGTTTTTAGGGGGTTTACTGCCTTGCAATATTTTATTTGAAAGTGTGGTCAATATTTTTTAAAAAATAAATAAATTTTAGCAGGGATGGGGAATGCAAGGGCTGCATTCTTTTCTGAGCAACTGGAGGTTGCCAGTGGTGAGCAGGTCCAGAGGCAAAAGTGGGTGGAGCAATGAATGTAAGTTTTACCTTTGCACAGTACTTTAGTACTCATACACGTCCTTCTGTCACCCATCCAGACAAGCAAGAGGCACTTCCATAGTTAAGAACACATTCCAGCAGAGCACAAATACTAGAGGGTGTGACTGGGGAGAATCTCAAGGGTCAGACAGAGGGGGGTTGGATCAGATTCTCTACTCCGGCCATATAGGAGCACAGTCAACCCAGAGGCCTTGTGGTTTCAGCCCTGCTTTAACAGGCAGCTACCCTAAAAGAGAAGTCAGTATTATTTCCATAGTGCAGGAAGTGGAATGAAGCTGGGAGTAGCCATCTAGTGGATTTAACAATTGAGGCAAGAAATTGTTGGCTGAAAATTGCACTCTTAGCAGTTGACTCTGTTTACACTACTGAAACACTTTCAGGCTTCAGGGGTCTTCAAAATGTATTAGAAACTTAACAAACGTGAAGGTGAATGAAAGGGAAATGAAGGAAGCCTGTAATGTTGTCCCATGGGAGTTTGGGTTACAAACAGCAGTGGTCACAGATGGGGAGTGAGGAGATTTTATGACACGTCATGAAAAGTTAATGATATTTTCTCCTCTACACTGAGAAGCAATTGCGCACATAGCAGGCCAACTTTACTTACGCCCTTAAGGCTGCCATACAAGCTTATTTTCAAATGAACCCTGCTGTTATGTATTAAAATGTAGTAAAGCTTAGTTGAGTTCCCTAAATTTAAGCTGTAAGGAGTAAAGTGAAGTCTTGTCTCATTCTGGCAGTTCATCTAACACACTTTTCAACCAATTGCTATTGACTGCTTGACATAGATGTCTACCCTTCACTTAGCTGCTGGTCATGTGCTCACCACATGATGCTTACAAAATGCTTTGTGGGCTTAACGTTAATTTTGCAATGTTGCTGCATCACAGTGATAGCTTCTAAGAAAAGAAGTTATTTAGCTGTTTAAAATGGTTGTTTAACTGTTGAACTTCTTTGACCCTTGCACTTTTTTAAGTTCTTCCTCTCTTGAGAACTGTGTAGGCTGCTATCAGGAGATCATGTTCTGCTTCTGGCAACAGCAGTGACACTGTAGGGCACTAAATCTAAATTTATTATGACTCTCAAAACTTTGTATGGGGACACTAGGCAGGGGTGATGTTGGGGACTGACCCTGGGTCTTTTGTGCTAGACCATGGTTCTTCTCACCTCCCCCAGTCCCAAAAAATAAAAATAAACCTGCCTATAGGATGGCTGGGTGAACTGCAAAGCACAGTGCTTTGAGACCCCACCACCCTCTGTTTTCATTTTCTTCCCAATTCTACTATAGATCGTGGTTGTTGAATATCGTGTGTTGATGGTGTTGACTGGTGATAGGGGACTTGTGAATATATGCAATAGCTGAATGGCATGTGGAAGGAGAAGTGTTTGTGAAAGAGAGCATGAGTGTTATGTTAGATATTGGACAAGATTTCTTCTAGTTTTTAATAGGTGCATATAGAATGTAGGTGGGGTGTAGGACTCAATCCATTTATTAAGTTCTTCTCAAAGTAGACCCACTGAAATTAATCAACCTAAGTTAGCCATGTTAATTAACTTCACTAGGTCTACTCTGAACAGGATTAGCAATGGCTACAACCCACTATACCAATGAAATTCAGCCCAAATTTTGCACCCATGCATGTAAATTAGCATATGCACATTTTCTGCAAATTTATTTCATGAGCCTGTTCTGTGAGTCATTTTAGTACCTAGCAGTGCCCCAGCTCTAGGAAGTTTGTATTTGTTTCTAATACGGTATTCTGCAACAGAAACATTAAAGAACTGGTCAGGTGTTGTATCAGGGTTTCATCCTAATACCCCCTTTTAAAAAAACAACAACACAGCTGTAACTTGTTCTGATATGCAGTGGATATTTAAATTGCAGTAACAAGTTTCTTGATGTTTCAGATTGGAATACTGAGTGATATCTTATTGTGTCTTTGAAGTGAGCTCATAGGTAGCAGATAATTTGACATAAATCTGTCTTGTCTGATAAATAATTTCAGGAGGAGCATTTGTTGACTGTGGAGCAGTGATTATTTTAAAGAGTGCCAATGTGAAGTTTGCTAGGAGTCTGCTGAATTATCGGGAGGGTGGATGGGATTAGGAAATATAGTCAGATCATTGTGGGGATGCGGAAACAGCTGATTATTAAAAAACAGCAAGTTACCAAAGACAAAATCCTCCCACAGCTGAGAGAAAGTTAAGTAGGTACTACTTAATTTTGGACGGCACTTAATTTTGGACAGATAGTGCCCCAGCCATCAAGAGACTCAGGCTGTGTTTTCACATGTGGTGCTGTTACTTTGATTTGCAATAGGATGTTAGAGTGGTACTAGTACTACCAACTTTAGAAACCCATTTGATCTGCATGAATGGTGAAGAAAAAGCTAAGATACACATCTTTTTAGCATTATATGGCTAAAGTACTGCACAGAAATGCTGCCAGTCTAAACTTGAGTTACTACAATCTAATTTGTTGTTGCATCCCGCACTTGATTATGGCTGGATTTAGTTTCTCTTCTTGTGTTCTGCTGAAATTAGTAAGAAAAGAGCATGTGACTGTGAGATGGGGGACAGAGGGAGGTCAGAGCGTGGGTCGGCAGGGTTGAGGGAAGGTATGATGTGAGGGTTAGGCTATGACACCTGAGGCAGTGTTCAAAGCTAGGTACCACATGGCGCCTGGAACCTGGGTTGTGAGGCTCCAAAACACATTGTCTAGTCCCATTTATGCCGCGGTGCCCCACAGATCTCCCGGCTTGCACAGCACCAAAGAGAAGCACATCTTTTGGTGCTGCGTGAGCCAGGTGATTCCCCACAGCCAGTCCAGCTCATCAGGCTTCAGCGGCTCCGCTAATAATAAGGCTGCCATTCTCTGTGGCTTTCCCTGCCGCCAAAACATCCACTGGTGTTTCCACTTCCTCTTCCTTTTTTACCCGCTCAGCAGAGGCCACCTGGGCTCAGTTTTGTTGGAGCC